TACTCTTGTTAATATGATAATATTAGTATCTCGCATACTTAGTTTACGACAAATAATTTCTATAAATCACATTTTCTCTCTTTAACGACAGATATTTTATTTCAAGACGATATTAATTATAAGACGTTAAATATATATTTCTGTTTAAAGGTATTTGTATTTAGTTTTTCCTTCATTTCCTTTTAATATCTTGCTGATTACATTTTTTTATATGTATTTTTCTATCTCACGCCCGAATAATTAAGATTAATTAAATTCTCTGGCAATATACAAAGTAATTATTTTTATACTTGAAAGTTGATCAAATTATCCAATTACCATAGAGAACAAAAGATTAGCAAGTAAATTCATATACTTTCTTGTATACAGTTTATAGCTTGTTACTTAACAAACCACTTAATACATACAATCTTAATACACTTTAAAAGACTAACGCATTATCGGCACCTCATAAAAAAAAGAAAAAACTCGAGACATTGTTGATATACCACGTATCAAGCTCGGTAATGAGATCGCGGTCACGAATAACCAAAATCATCGCACGGTCCAAAATAACGAAATTTTCGAACGAGTTGGGGCGCTCTTTATAATATCAGCAGCGCATTAGGTCGTTGCTCGCAAGGGCGAGATAAGGCTCAATTCTGCGTTCGTTGCCGGAAATTTCTCAACCAGATTCCCCCTCAGATTCGACAGAGATTCTTAACACAGCTTTTCGTAGCACGTTTCGTTGCTCAAACAAAGCGTCGTAATGGTGCTGATCGCCCACATCGAAATCCGGTCTTCCCTTCTTGTTCGCAAGGTCGCGCGTAAATCTTCGGCAGGTCCTGGTCGAAAGAATGGGAATGAACGACACTTCCGTTTGCTTCGGCGTGATACTTATTCAACCCGGGAAAAGAGCCGGCGGCTCTTCCCGAAACGATCGAATTATCGGGCCGTTTTTTTTCTCCGTTCTGGATACAGCGACGTCTCACTGGTATAACTTTATCGTACGGAATTCCGAAGCGGGCGCACCCGGCAGATCCGTTCAAATTCATCTTCTCTCGAGTAAATCGATCCCGATGAAAGGGTCGCTTACACGACTGAGATTATATAAATTCCGGAGGCTTTCAGAGACTCTTGACGAGAGAAAGAGGTTAAGGTGAAAGTTTCTCAACCAAAATAATTCTCGAACGAACATGATTTGAACTATATGACTTGGAATATTTTTACTTAATTCTACAAATTGAAAGGAATTGGCAAAGAAATAAATCAACAGGTTTAAAAAGTTCAAATAAAGGATTAAATAGTTATCTATACTTATCTATTGACTTATAATTTAAAATACAAGTGCACTATATGTGATAGAGAGCGGGTCGATGACTTTTCATTTTGGAATATCATTTTAGGTCAACAAACGCGTAATATAACACCACACATGAAATTAGCAATGCAAATGTTGCGTTCCCATTTTACGGATGGGCACCCCGTATAAGCCACATATGGCAATATCAAGTTGCTCTTGGCGCACGTGCGAAGGTAGTTAACGTTCCGATTTCGAGTTGTACTCTGAAGCTCTGATACAATGTGTCAACGTAAATACTACTCGTAAACTTTCGCGATATACATCGGGAATGTCACTAGACGCTGATCACTTACTTTGATCAACACCGAAAACACACGCTTACTTTTCCTATAGTCATAAACACAGCTAAAGTGGAAATAGATTTAATTTTACAGCTAAAAAGAGTCAAATGTATTAAAATATAAAAGAAATATAAGAATGATTAATTCGATATAAAAGTAAACATTTTGCAATTTTTGTTATATAAGTTATATAATGGCAAGATTGAAAGCAGAAAAAAGACCAATGTTTTGTTTTTAATTAGATCTTAGAAAATTACAATTCTTAAGCATTAATTTTGATATTATTATATAATAATATTTGTGTTTAAACACTAAATGTATATTTTTTAATGTGTTGATTTTTAAATAAGCAATATTACGTATTTTCGCCTACTTCGCGAGAAGACTGTATGCTGAATACCGATGCGCCTCAAGCGTGCATTACATAGACAAGTTAATGTTGAGGAAAGGAAAGCTACGTGAGCTTACAACAGCCCGAGGTATGTTTTAAGCTTTACTAAGATTGTCGGGAAGAGGGCGCGCGTCAAGTGTCAGTTAAATCCGTTAATTCCAAACACTTCTCTTGCAATAATTCTGTATACGCTGTCAACTTTCCACTATTCAAATCGTTGACTTTTCCAGATTCGCATTAATCTGCTAATTACAATGGTGCGTAATGATTTTCAGTCATTTCCACAAAGACGGTTAAATCTATTTTAAATTTTAAGAAAATAGAGCACACATGAATTTTTAATTTTTTTCCTATGTGTGGATATGTATTATTATTACAAACATTTCTCGATGTCGCTATTTTGTTGAGCCACGCGAAATAGATTTGATTTTATTTCCGACCGTCGATTCGTACATCATAAAAAAGGAACCTCCTTTATACTTGGCGAGTTTCAGGAAAGTTTTGTCTATCTCAAGCTCTGAGCTTAAACCAACCATTCGGGGCGCGTTTGTACGCGCAAGACAACGTGATAAGAGACCCGGCAGTAAGAAGTGAATTGCGGTTTTCGCTTGTAATTTATTACGATTCGACCTGTCGGTTCGCGCCATCTCAGCTCCGCCGGGTACCGACATTTTCCGTCCTGCGGGGACAATATCCGGGTGTTTTTCCTCGCTGATTGAGGACAGAGCTCTTTTTGTTGTTCTTCTTCCCTTTCGTACAGATCGGCTCGAGTCGGCATGGTCGAGAAAACAGACGAATTTTCGTAATTGGCCCGGCGCGCGGGCAACCTCATTAGATCCGTAACTGGCACGCAATTGCTCTCCACTAATAAGAGCGCACAGTATTCCGCGGCCATAAAGCGAAAAGTCCGCACGAGCAGCAAGTTATTGTCTGATACGTTGTGTTATTCACGGAGCGGCAGTCGCTCGAAAATGTAGCAGCTACGATTTCGAAGTATAATACTTCTCGGCGCACTGGCGCAGCGATGTGTGATAATGGTACTCGTGTATATCTCTCATGCTCGTAAAGCTTTTGCTTAACAAAGAATACCTTTCTGTCTGAGGTATTATTCTCAAGCAAGCTTGTATCTTAATTAAAATATTTTCATTTCTTTTTTCTCATTTTGCGAACAGCCGCGTGAGCAAAGGACATTTATGTCATACTCTGAGAATTTCAGTGCAATTTCGTGTGCGTGATTCGCGCGAATTTCATCGCAACTCCGTCGCAGTTAGCTGGTAATTATTGAAATGAAAATACGGTTGTGGCAAGTTATCGGTGATGCGTGATACTTCGTCTTTGCCCTTTCCCTTCTCGGAAATAGCTGGAACTCGCGTTATTGACCTGCTCGTGAATAATTGCATCGTTAACGAGTAATCAGTTCAGCTGTCCCTTCTCACGATTAGTAAGACATTTCGCAACAATTCAACCGTAAAAGGAGCAATCAAAGCGAAGTTCCACCGGAGAACATAACGAACGCCATTTCGTTCTTATAATTATCGCTCCTATATAACGGAATCGCGATCGATTGAGTGTTTTTCATAATTTTTTCAACACTTTAAACTCGCGAGATATTTAATACAATAATAAATGCAATACTTTGCGAAACTTTGCATAAGCTTCGCGTGCACGCCGATATTGGTATTTATCGAATTACGTTATATCAAGACCTGTTGTGAAAGTAATGTCGATATATTCCCCGACGTGCACTATGCGAGCTAGGCATTGGCTGAAACTTTGGGAAATATCAAATCTTCGCATGCTGCGGGAACTCCAGCAACTCGAAAATTGTGCGGCTTGATTAAATATTAAGTCTTAACGGCGTTGTATAGGAAAATTGCGCTAAAATTTCTCCGATCGATACACGTTGCATAATTTATTACCAATTTCTTATTTTCCAACAATTTTGCGATTACGCGGTACTTTTCTTATTAAAAGTTTACAAATTCAACAGTTTACTGACGTTGCACGCGAATAATTGACGTGCTATGCTCGTTTGATAAACCACAGACCAAGTACAGAGATGACGCTCGGTGAAACGCATGACAAATTTTTCGATTTAATTAAACTTCTGTCAATTTCGTAATCTCAGTGAAAAATCAGCAAAGATAATAGCTGGCATACCTCCATCCACCTTTGAGCAGGTTTAACTCTTCAAACAGGCGTCATGCATATTCTATCAACGACCTAACCAGAAACCGCAGGCCAGCCTTGCGGTAATGTTAACCCAGCAGCTCTACTCGGATCTATATAGCTCTGACAGCGAGGTACGCCCGGGATCGAGGATTTTGAAAAACGATGAAGCAACCATAACCGCAACAGCAACCTCCGTTTTACCTTTGACGCGACGAGAATATTGCAAAGTTTTTTTTTTGTTTTTCTTCCTAATATATATGCTAAGAGCAGCGACTGAAAAGTTATGAACTCTCGAGGGGTCAAACAAGTTTTTTAATTTTGCATATTTTGCATCTTGATAAATGCCTCCGCTGCTGGTGGATTCGATAAACGTGTGCGACTGTCGACGTTTAAAATAAAATAATATATTTTATACATTTTTGATCAAAGAATTAATAAAATCGTCGAGAAAACAATTTATCGCTGGCTTGCCTTGTAATTGTTGAAAGCTAAAGGCCGTTGTGACGCAAAATAGTTAATAACGATCCGTTTCCTATGACAATAATCTCTGTAGCAGTTTGTTCATATTCACCACGTCACGTCCGAGTTGTATTGTTTCAGAATTAAGTACAATAATCCGTCCGAAGATTCGTAAGCAGGCTGCGGCAGGCGGATCTGGTATTACGCAAACGGTTGCGCGTTTTACTATTTATTTATCGCAAAGCTGATGCTCGAACAAAGCTTGCGTAATAATGTCGGACGTGGATTTTGCTAGCGTAATTAGTTGTTTTAGAGAGAAAGAGCCGCGAAATACAGGAATTTAGCTACCACTCACCTCCTTGTCGCCCAGTTGATGAACTCTGCAGTGAAGAAAGGCGGTCTGACCGACTGCAGTAGTGACATTCCGTGGCACGTTTGTTTCGAAAGCCGGCACGCCGCTGACGTTGTGACTCCCCTGAATAAGACTCCCGCTCAAGACTCTCTGATCGCGAGTGAACGTACCTGTATGACACACAACGCAGAAAACGTCAACGTCAGAAATTAGTGTGGCGCATAGTCCGCGACTAAGTCGCGAAGCTCATTAAGCGGCTGTATAAAGCCTTTTAAAGCCTTTTGCCGGGCTTACGGCTGCGATGAAACGTAAATAATCTCATAATTCGTCCTTTCTCTTTCTCCACATTCATATTTCCGGAGTCTCGGACGGTGAAATGACTGAATGATTATTTCTGCTTTCAGGTAAGAAGTCGTTTGTGGCGCACAGGACGCTATTCGGTAAGTCGTCACGACACATTTATAAAATTAAAGGTCTGTATTTTTAGTGCTTATTTAGCGCTGATATGCGATTATCTAATATTTTCCGCTTAGATAGAATATATTTATATAAAAAAAGTTACTTTTTTTGCTGAAAACTCTAGAGATTACTAAAGTTTTCACCTAAACGTATAAATGTGCTCCGAGAATAACGACCGTAGTTAGCACTTCTGCTCTTATATTGCGTTACTGCTCGTAAATTCTACGATCTTCCAAACACGAGTTATATTGCTTTCATCATGCTTCATATTGCTAAATCCATCTACATCAACATTATGAAATCTGCAGAGTTATATTATATTATCCGGAAATATAATGCACAAGTGCTCCTTTCACAATGTATCCCGTACAATCGTGTATTATCGAGCAAAACGCAAGCTGAGTAGCTTTTATAAGCTTCTGCAGCGACGTTAATATATCTAGAATCGCGTTGTAAAAATGCCAACTTTTTTCACATGCGCGAAATAATTTTCACAATTCTCACTGCAATTCCCGCTGCAAAATTTTATTTGCCGAAATGATCGTCGGCGGTATTCGCTTTATTGTTAGAAACGCAATAGATATGGCGACCAACAATGAATCGGGTATGCATTATGGCTCGCGCTGATCATTGTTGACGTTATCGAAGCGAATGACGGACTCCGACGGACGCTGCTAGCCTCTACTTACCTAGTTATTGATTGTTAGCGGCGGAATTAGATAAGCTTGCAAGTTTGTGCACGGCCTGCAGGTAAGACACAGATCACAGATTAATCTGCAGCTTGCGGATAGAGGAGGGTTAGAATAGCCGAGCTTGCATGACCTAGCCCCTTATCCGTTGGCGGTGTTTTGCGCGTGGATCAGTTTAGAGAGAATATGTTTTGCGGGTGAAACGTTACGTCGTGTTTGCGCACATCGTCGGTGGTCATTTCGCTTATATTAGCGTTAGATTGTTCGCTAATTACCGATGATACTCGCAGCAACCATAACGGCGACGTTGTAAACTTTTGCAAAGATATTATTTTATAACTTGTTAAAACATGCGATAAAACATACTTTGATATCACATATTAACATTTTTTGCCGAAGTTAAAAAAATATAGGGATTTTTCAATAAACGCATAAAAGTTTTATCAAGAGATTTTTTAGTACTTTAACAAAAATTATTAAATTATATTATTCTCATATTTGACTATAAAATATCCTTATATATTCGTATATAGAATATAAGAATATTTTATTCCAACTGGTAGACTGCTGCGTTTTTAAAACTCAAAGTATCTTCGCGAATGTTAAAAGTTTTTCTACATTTTTTACGTACTTTTAGTTACGTGAATTACACGTAAAGGCTAAAGAATATATACATCTAAAAAGTGCATAATTTTTTTTTCCAAAGTATATAAATTTTACGCAAGACCCATAGCAATCTAATATTTCACAGTTTATATTAAAACGTATCGATTCTCCTGTGGAATAAATTTTTATATTATCTTTAATGACATTTAAAAGAAATTTTATAAATTATTGTTATCATATGCGTTTGAAACGCAATATAAATCTCTTTTCTATTTTATAACAGAATACGTCATAAATAAATTAATTTTGCATTTTATAAATAACGATAATTGTATTTGGAAGAATTCTTTTAGAAAAATATAAATACATTAGACTGTTAAAAAATGGTTAATTAACAATCATATAAATCATATATGCATGGTTGAAAGTAATTTTATTACAAGAGTTTGTGTGAAGCTACTCGCAAACTGCATTTGTGCTATAGTGAACATTGTTTATCTTTGAAGAAGTGGCTATGCGACTGCAAATGTTAGAGCTCTTAGCCTCTTCGGATATTAGTACTCTTTACTTAAGTGGTTCGAGGCAACATCCGAGCTTCAAGCACTCGTACGTGGTAGCGGAGAAAAGGTTTCTTCCGGTTAACAGTCAAAACGATTTAAAAGGGTTTTAAGTTTGGCCGTGTAACTTAGATTTATAGCTCTTAATGGATCCGCAGACAATTAATTACCATGTCGTCATTGTTTAGAATCTTCTATAGATATAAATTATTTCGTCCAAATCGAGTACCGCTTTCGTTATCTATATTGCCTGAAGAATAGCAATTGTAACAAAAAAATAAATATTTTCCTATATTATCATAACTTCAAAATAAAGAAAAATATATTTTTCATTTTATTACTCTAATATTATTAATAAAATTTCCAAATTTTATGGCATCTGCATCAATTGATACAGAATGTTTTTAAAGTCATATTTAGAATGCAACAATCAATTAATTTAAGTATTATTTAATTTAGATAGCAAATATTGCATATCAATGCTACCATTCATTCTAAAAGAAAAAAAAAGTCAAAAGTATTGTCATCAGATGACTTATTATTATTTCCCTTCCTGCTGTGTTATCAGCGACAAATGAATCAATTTGTCGCCCCGACGTTTTGCCCCGATTCATTTAATAACAGATAGAACACAGAGGCGTGTGCAATCGATACGAGCAACGGTTCAGCAAAGACGCGTGTGCTAGCGTCAGCGCGATTTCTCTTTAGATGTGCTGGCGCAAATCATATCAGGTTAACGAAATGTACTTCATCGAAAACCGATTGATTGTCATTTACGTCGTTGTCGTGCAATGATAAAAGCATCATACTTTGCGTATCGGATCAGTTTGCCTCGTAACCCCGCGAAACACTTGCACGATTTAGTCCTTCAGTATGCGGATGCGAAAAGTCTCAACCAGAAAGCAGTTCCGGAAACGGACCAATGGGAAATGAGAACTTTATCATAACGGGAAAAGCCCGCTCAGCTGCCGCTTGCGGCAATATCGCAAAACGCTAAATTACTATTGGAAGCCGAATGATATTGCGCGTGGAGAAAGACAGCGTAATATTATCAAAGATGTCAAATGATGAAATGCGTTCCGATAATGATTAATATTTCAAATATCGACACCGCGTTATCGGTCACATGAGAGTTGACCTATAAATGCGTTGTCAAACTGGACACATTCGATGCACTGCGAACTCTTAGATAACAAGAGCGCGTTTTCTTTCGTTTTGGAAAAACTCTTTCTTATTGCAAATACGTAATAGAATAGATTACTTATTTTGCCGCTGCGAATACGCGATTACAACATTTTATAAATAATAAAGTAACTTTTGTCCGGTATTTTAGAATTTTTTTTACAAATCCTGCAACTATGTCGCTCGTTGTACATCTTAATTAATCCGACGCAAACGTTTGTGTAGCTAAAGCACGGCCGTTTCGTACGAAAATAATTTGTCATCGTTGTGACGAGCGCTTCCATATTCCGCGACCGAGTTTTACAAGAGTGCCACAGTGATTCGTGTTGATCAATAACGGGGAGAATAATAAATAACCGGAGTTGTCGATAAAATAGCGGCCCCAAAAATCGCCGGCACATGGATACGGGCGTACTGTGATGTGTGTAGCGTGTGACGCCTCGCTCGCAAAGTTACGATCTGTGGCTCGTGCAGCGGATACACGGCGTCGTGGCGCACGTGTGGGTGCACCTGGCGTACCGTGCGGTTACAACGTTGTAACTCTTGCTCGTTGTGCGAGCACAACATGCCGAAACAAAGAACCGGGCTTTTTGTCGCGTTTCTTACGATATCATTGAAGAGGGGTTTAATAGAGAAAAAGCTGGAGTATGCATAACGATTCTATAATTAGTTTAAGAACATATGTATGGAAGTAGTTACTATGAAAGGTGATGCACTTTTATTTCTAAACGTCAGACGACACACGCGAATAATCAGACATTGCCAATTTTGCTTTTATCCTTTTGATAATGGACATAATTATTTCAGGATCGGTTACCATGTTATTATTTCACTCAATCAAATATACCGAAGTCACTATGAATGTACACAATTAGAATACTATCTATTGAAAGTATCATATTTATTAGCATAAAATGCAGCATTGGCTAGTAATATGAACTATATTATGATAATGTTACGTATTTGCTGTAATTATATACTTTGGGCAATTATCATGCAATAATATTATTATGCAGCAGTTTGATAAACGATATGTTTAAATTTACCAAACTAACTCCGTCCAGCTTGACCAATAATATAATAGCGGCGGGTTTTTTTCCTTCCGGATTGGGTCGAATGTAGCGTGCTGCGAATAGTGAAAATATGTAGTTTTTGTTCGCGAGAAGAGTAATTTGGGCTGCTGTAAGGGTTACATTCCACCGGGCCGTGTGTTGTTCGGCTGGACTTTTGTCGCAAAAATTGACTCGCGCGAACAAGCTATATATACTCCAGGGATTACGCTTCGAAAGCGCTGGAGCGTTCGATGTACGTGACGTATGGCGGGTGGAAAGGATCGCGACTATAGTTACTAGCGACGGCTTGTTGAAACCTCGGCGAAATCGATGATTTGATGGATGTCCGTTTACAAACGTTTCATGCATTGTATCTACCAGTTGCTATAATTTGATAATTACCTTGATAATTACTGCTTACGTGTATTTATCATCAGGATATCTAATTATGATTAATTTTCAGAAATAACTTGAATTCGCCACGAAACGATAATGTATTTTTTAATTATTCCTTTTTTAATTTAAATTCTTTTTATTATCTCACGTGTACAGAAACTTACGTGCATTTTTTACTGAGTATTAAAGAAGTCCAGTTTGTAGAAATCTAATTTGGGATTTAATCATCAAGATTTTTACATCAAATTTTATTGTGCGGAAAGCCAAATTATTGTAGGAAAAGTCGAAAACATTTAATATCTATGATTTGAAAGCGAAGAAAATGGGATGTTACAGATTTAAAGCATTCGTCCATGTCACAAAAGGCCACTGATGATTATTCTCTCTAACCCGGAACACTCTGCATAATCGACGCTAGTTATATAATTGTAGGATCAACTTTCGGAAACTTCCTTTTAATTCTGCAATTAGTTTCAATCCGAGTTAACGCCCAGCGCTT